GGTACTTCGCCTTCAGCCCTACCGGTTTCGGGTACAGTACGTACCAGGTAAACAGAACATTGCTGACTCTCTTTCACGACTTGTTGAGAAGGAAGAGTTGAGTGATCATGATGATGCTCAGGAATTTATTCGCCTTGTGGCAGAAACATCAGCACCAGTAGCAATACCCATCAAAGAAATTGAGAGAGAATTAGCTACCGAGCCAGAAATTATACAACTACAAGAGTGCATCTCAACAGGAGACTGGGACAAAGCCCCGCCACAGTATAAACAGGTCAGAAATGAACTCTCTTTAGTTGTAAAGTTAGTATTAAGGGTAACGAGACTGCTAATTCCACGAAGACTGCGTAAAAGAGTACTGCCCTTAGCACATGAGGGTCATCAGGGGCTGGTAAAAACCAAACAGAGACTTCCTACAAAGGTTTGGTGGGCTGGAATTGATAAACAAGTGGAAAATCGGTGTAAGACCTGCCATGACTGCCAACTTGTTGGACTACTTACACGACCAGAGCCCTTCCGGCATACAGAGTTTTCAAAGTCAGGCTGTGTCTGTTTACTTGTTTAGCAGTTAGGGCTATTCACCTAGATGTCGTTCATGACATGACCGCTGAATAATTCCTGTTCTGCCTAAGAAGATTCTTTGCCACATGTGGAAAACCGAAACAGATAATTTCCGACAATGCTTCCCAGTTCAAAGTAGTAAAGTCGACTGTTTAAGAAGCATGGCAACTTTCCATGACAGGTCCTGACACACAAACTTACCTGGCCAACGAAGGCATAAAGTGGAGCTTCATCATTGAACTGGCCCCCTGGATGGGTGGTTTCTATGAAAGACTTATCGGACTTGTGAAGCAGTCTCTTCGAAAGAGTATTGGAAAGATTCGTCTTTCTATAGTTCAACTGGAAACTGTTGTAAAGGAAGTCGAAGCAGTAATCAATCCCCTGCCATTAGTCTACGTAGGAGCTGACTTCAGCTCTGGATTCACACTCACCCCAGGAAATTTCCTCAGCCTTAACCCAACGTTTGACCCAACAAAAGATCTCACTCATACCTTGGGTCCGGTTCGCTCCAAACCAAGTGTATGGTTTATTCGGAATACATGACGAATCATAGAAAAGTAATATATAACCCAAAAATATATAAGAAAAACAAAACCAAAAAATACAAGCCATGTTGCATTCAGCGTCAATGATCTAAATCATAAGCTAACCGAGATGGAGTCGTGGAACAACGGCTGGGTGAAAAACCTCCCCGTACCTCCACTTGCACCCAGGAGGAAAACCCCAGGCCAGCTGTGCCCATATACAACGGTCCCCCGGGTACGACCAACTAAATAGATCCTAGAATAAAATAAGCGGTGCGTATGAGGAAACTAAATAACTAAAGCCATAGAAACCGCCAAATGTGATGGTAAAGAACCTTGAACATACCCGTCCTTAGCCGATTTACTAGCCAAGGGGCCATGACGCTTATAAAGACGGTCAGGCAGGCCAGCATTTGCGGCGGCAGTAGTCCCGCCTTTCCTAAGACTATGCCTACCAATGGCAGAAGTATCCGGTGTAATACCTTTAATAGCCTCTAGCACTAAATCCCTTAACTGCGAATAGCTTAGACCTTTAGCCCAAGGCTTATAACCACATTTATTTTTGGCAAGCTGGTAAAACAAACGGCTATCGCAGGGAAGCCCAGCTCTTCCTAAATAACAGTTCATCAAAGCAACCGGACAAATTGCTTTCCCAGAAGAAGCCACGACAATGCAAGCTCCATCTCTATACTGATTAGTTTTACTTCATGAGTAAATAATTTTAACATGTCATTTTCGATTTTGACATGAGATCGAACAAGCTTAGTAAGCTCATCAAATCTAAGAAGGGCAGCAAAAGCTAGCAAGCATCTGACAAATGAACGAATATTCTACAAAGAGGCCATCGAGTCCGCCTGGCAGACAGCTAACTGTTCTAACTGAAAGACTGTGATAGGCTCCTTGGATGTGTGATGGGCCAGAAAACGCTGCGCACTGGCTAGAATACTCTTCACCAAGGAATGTTCAGTAGGAGACGGCTCGCCATCTAACTGGTGAAACTCTGCTAGGACCTGCTGACTCCAGGGGAGGTGCTTTCTCCACCTCAGTCATTAATTAACGCAAATGAAAATCAAAGTGAAGGGAAGAGCTTTTTAAACATGGTGTTACATTCGTTGTTAAGAAGTATGTCTGTGGAGAAAAAATGTGGAAAGCGAAAGAGGCTGGATGGCGACAACGCTTTTGTCCGTGAAACAGAGAGTTTTCTATGTTTGTTTCCCGAGCTTGGCGATGATGAGCTTCAATTTCACGATTTTCATCACTTTAGTTTAAATTGTGTGAAGCCAGTGGCTTCGGTGTTGATAACTAAACATCAGGAGTGCCGGTTTTCTAAAAAATTTTTCGTTGTGGAGCCCAGCAGTCACAAGGCAGTCGTGTACTATGAACAGCGGGGAACTCACCTCAGCGCTCGGGTGACAAAATATATGAAAATTATGGATATTGGACTAAAGATGGGAAGAAATAGTTTGATAAAGAATTTTAAGACAATGTATAAGCGGTTATTTGTTGAGGTTGAGCATGATGTCGTTAATTATCAAAACCGAGGGCTGACTTGTCTGCCGATGCCAATGAGGTTTTGATAATTCACGATATCATGCGAAAGCCGAATTCAATAATTGTTTTATTATGCATTTTTCGAACAATTTTTTAAAGAAGACACCTATCTAAGATGCACACGTATCGAGTGGCTTTTTTCATCTGTTGTAAATGAAAATTCTGGGTCTTTGATTACGTCAGTTCCTTTTGTCTTTAAATGCTTGTTGAGTCTAAATCGTAAAGAAGTCATGGAACTACGGGATGCCAGTACTTTCTCTCGCGCCGACGTAAAACTTTTATAAAGCACTAACCAAAGCTTCTTCTCCCTCAAATAATCATTCAAAATTTTACACCTTTCGTTGTTGTCCTCTTGGTATTTTTGGAATCTTTGTTCTCGATCAGAACTTTCAATTCCCTCTCGGAAAAAAAGGGAAGTGCTTAGCCATTTTTGCAAACGTTTGGCAACACTACACGGACGAGGGAGTTGAAAACTAGGCAGACTTTCAACTCGACATGATAACCCAATATCTGGTGCAGTTATTGGGTTATCACGTGAAATTCACATGCTACTGTATATGGACTGAATGATCTGGATCAAACAGATGTTACATATGTGTAATTCAGATGTATAATAATTTCTGTGTTGGTCAGAGGATACTGTATTTCACAAGGCGTTTTTGAGGTAATGTTGTAATTTTCTGGTTGTTGGTGCTGTGCCTTTTAGAACCTTTGCAATGACTTTCAACCGAAAGTTTTGGTGTAGAGGAAGTTCCGTTGATGGACCTGCAGTGAAAAGGATGGAAAGGTAGTCTTTACTTTGGTTTTCATTTTTGGTACTGAAATGCGTGAACTTCGAGCTTATAATCTCGTGCAGCTCTGAGCCATGCATTAAACTTACCTATAATTTGTTATGAAATCTTTGGTTATCACATCTCTTGATTTTTGTCAAGAAATGGGTAACATTACAAGGAGGTTCGCCTCAGGGATCATTGGGGACTTTAAGCAACGAGAGCGGGGACGGCGACAAGGACTCCAAAACCCGCATAAGACTGGGGAGAGAACGCCGTCGTGGCGGGAATTTCTAAACAGTTAAGCAGCCATTACAAAACGCCGCTCATTATATCTTTGAACGAAGTTCGAAATCAAATTTTGATTAGCCACAATGATGGATTGATAAATGATGAGGAACTTCTATTCCTGTACGATTTAAACAGGTGCGATAATGTCGATCTTCGGTATAATTCTTATCCTGGTTCTGACTTCGATGATTTAGAAGACGACGAGTGCCGTTCAGAGTTTCGCTTCTACAAGAACGACTTACCATCTCTAGCTGAAGTATTGGGGATTCCTGAGGTAGTGGAATGCTATCAAAGAAGTATCTGTAGTGGATTGGAGGCTCTTTGCATTTTTCTAAAGAGACATAGCTATCGTTGTCGATATTCAGACATGATAGCTCGCTTTGGGAAGCCTGTTCCAGTGTTGTGCATGATAAACGACTACATGATCGACTACATTTATCAGGCACACAGTCACAGAATTTTGCAGTGGAATGATAGTATCCTCAACCCTTATTCACTGGAAATATACCGTAACGGCATAACAGCTAAGGGATCCCCCTTGGATAACCGTTTTGGCTTTATTGATGGGACAGTTAGACCAATAAGCAAGCCTGGCCAAAATCAGCGCATTGTCTACAATGGTCACAAGAGAGTTCACGGTGTAAAATTCCAATCCGTGGCATTGCCAAATGGAATTATTGGAAATATGTATGGACCAATCGGTAAGGGAATGGAATATTTAAATTATCCTTCAGAAAAAGACCCGAAAATTTTTAATATAGATGTTTTTAATTTGTCTTCTTTTTTCATAGAGGGGAGACGACACGACGCTGCCATGCTAGCAGACTCCTATCTTCTTCAAGATATGCAACGCTATCCTTTTTCACCTGGGCCAGTGGGTCGTCCACTTTGTGTTTATGGAGACCCCGCCTACCCATTGAGGGTGCACCTCCAGACCCCTTTTAGAAACATGATACTCACCCCACAGATGGTAAATTTTAATAAGTTTATGAGCTCAGTGAGAGTCTCTGTAGAGTGGCTCTTTGGAGACATGGTTGAGTACTTCAAGTTTGTAGATTTCAAAAAGAACCTCAAGATTGGACTCTCTTCAATAGGAAAGATGTACATTGTTTGTGCCTTATTAAGAAATGCATTAACATGCTTATATGGCAACACATCCTCCGAGTTTTTTTAGCTGGATCCACCCACCTTGGAAGAATACTTTGATTAATTTTAGGGAGGGAGGATAAGGATTTCCCACACATTAAAGAATATTAATAATATTTAATATATTTGATACATTCTGCTGTGTAGGTTGATGGGATAAGAGGGGGGAAGTATAATATCCTTTCTCAAACCTCTAAAATAACTACATATTTTCCAAATACTTTTGGTTTGAATTTTAAAATGACCTCCCATCCCCCCTCTCCAAAAAAGGCTAAAATGTTCTTGTTGTCACAAAAAAAAAAAACAAACATGCAGCCAACGCAAATATGAAAATCGAATATTTCAAACTTAATAAAAGCTTTGCACCTCCCTATGCCTTTAACATTTCCATGTACCTCCTCTGCCTAGGTAGGGGGCTTGTGACCCTGTACGTTTCATAAGCCACGCCCAATATCCAGATACAAAATTATTTTAAGTAATCCTCAACTATTAGTCATTACCAGGTCAAGAATAAAACTAATTGGCCATTTTAGTTTTTGCAATAAATTTGCCATCTACACATGCCATGAATCAGTTTGTATTTTTCTTAAGGGAGAAGGATCACCATAGAGATCAATGGTGTAATTATATACAAGCACTAACCACCATAAAAGACTGGCACACCAGGGCATATTGCCATGGTCCTTCCAAGTGCTTACTTTTGAATATAATTATCTCAACCCAATAAAGAACAACAACTTTATCCTTGAATCAATATTGTGTATCGTAACATGAAAATGAGTGTAAAACAAAGAAAAAGACAAATTGAAACAAGGATGAAATTGAACTACAACAAATACATAGTATATCAACTTAAACTAAACTTAACACGTTTTTATTCTGTCTACTGCTTCTTGGCAAGCTCTTGCAGCACAGCCTCTAGTGCCTGGTTCTGTTGTTGTTGTTCCTGCATTATAGCAATTTGCATCTGGCTTAGCTGTTGAAGCTGTTGATGTTGCTGCTGCTGGAGGTTAGCAAACATTGTTCGCTGCTGCTCCTGTTGATGGATCAGTTGCTGTGTCATTTCCTCTTGCCGCTTTGCTTGGGAACACTGCTCCTTTTTTTAAGTTCTAGCTCTTCTTGCCTGATTTTGAATTCTTTTTCTGACTTCTCCCTCAGATATACCATGGTCTCTGCTCCAGATCTCCTTGTTCTTTTCTCCTTTTTCTCGGGCTCTTCACTAACCTCATCACCAACCACTCTTTTTCTTGTTTCTCCAACTTTCTCCAAAGCCTTGGCTCTAATATCCTCCACTTGCTTTTTCTCTTTCTCTGCACTGGCTTTTTTTTCCACTGATATCATTTGCTGATCTCTCTCTGCAGCCTCAGCTTTCTCACATATTTCTTCGATTGCTGCATCAANAATATTCTCTTAAGATGTTTGTCGACTGGCCCGAAAAAGTTCTTCAAAATTGTGCTGGTAGATAAAAAAAACCAAAACGGCTACAGAAGTTGTAGTGCTCTCAGCACTTTTAAATCTGGCAAGAATATCTTCTTTGTCAAACTGTTTGACTTTTGAGTGATTCTCAGCGGATAATTTTCGATTGATGTCAGTGTGAGCCAAGCTTATTTACATTACAATTTCTTACTTACATGTTCGTCGATGGTGTCGGTCTCGACGTTTCTGTTTAAAAACAAATCATCTCACTTTATGAAAGAAAAAAGCGATGAAAGTTATTTTTGATTGTCTCCTGGGAATATCGTAGAGTGGAGTAAATTTGCTAGGGGGTACTACCCCTAGCCGCTTTAATATACAAAGATAAAAAACTGAGGTTCGCACCTCTTTACGATTTTGAGTAAAATGTACTCCGCCCCAGTAAAGGTGGGGCTAAAACACGCCAAAGCTTCGTTGGGAGGTTTTTAGCCTATAAAAAACTCCAGGAAATTTGAGGCATTTGGAGTTACTTGAGAATTTAATGTAGACTGGTACCTCACAGAGAAAAATTGGGTATATTGGAGCCATTTACTCCCGTATGCGATTTACAACATTTGTGACGTTTTCCGATGTAAACAGAGGTTAACTACACTTATTTCAGCGTGTTACTGTGAGTCATTAACTTGAGGGTTCTTTAGGTGACAAATTCGCTGTTCAGCTACAATCTTTCTACTATCTTTAGTCTACTCAGTACCTTTTACTGCATGGTTTGCGGTAACTAAACTCTCACCAATTGGCCGCGGTGCATTGGCGACCAGAGGAGTGACCAGGGATGCTTTCCTCCGCTGGCAAAATAAAAACTGTTTAAAGTATTCCCTGAATCGTTCGCTTTGAAAGCCGTATATAACAGGGTTTATAGCGGAGTTAAATGTCACCATGACAACGGTCGTAATGTACGGAATCCCTCCGAACTCGTAAGCATGGTGGTAGTGACTAAGGGGGTACAGAATCAGCTGTGGAAACCAGCTCACGGCGTAAATAACGCTTACAATCAAGACTAACTTTGTCACTTTTCTTCTCGACTTTCGCACCGCTATTTGAACGTTTCCGTTTATTTTCTTGAACCACAAATCGTAAATGACTCTGGCGTATAAGGATATCATGATGGTGGCTGGGAGGATTCCGACAATTACGAGCCAAGCTGTGGAATTTGCTTTGCCGTAGCCTGGGCTTGGCCAAGCCTCTAGGCAGAACATATTCTCTTCATCGTAGTATATAGCGAAGAACAGTGGAAAGTTGAAGGCAATGGTGAAAATCCAGCAAGAGATGACAATGATCTTCACTTTTAACGCGGAAAATTTGGATACGGCATTGTAGGGGTTTGTAACGGCCTGATGACGTTCAAATGAGATTGCTACGAGCGAAAACACGGAAGCAACGCCTCCAATCCAGGATAGATTCCCACCAGTGATAAACTTACATATTATATCGCCAGTTACCCCCGTAGGATGAGTAAATACATGTATAAAAACATACTGTGGGCTTATAAAGGTCACTGCCACCATATCAGCCATTGCTAAGTTCACAAGAAGGTAATTCATTGGTGTCTGCATACTTCTATTTAAATAAACTACCAAACAGACCAAAAGGTTGCCAACCAGACCAACCAACACCAGGGCACAGAAACTAAAGGTCAGCACAATATCCTCTGAATTCAACATGGCTTTCTTTCTGTAGAGGAATTGAAAAAGACCATCATTAAGGAAACGAGACATAATAATAATAATTTACATTTATATAGCGCAGACTTCTATGTGGATATATTCAGTCGCGCTTCACAATATCGTAAGGTAGTATTATGTTAATAGTAACTAAAAATATAAGAACTATAAAACCTACGAATCTATGCACTCCAGGGAACAATTACCTAGTAAACCTATTTGAAAGTTAAATTTAAAAAATTAGTTTTGACAGCTGTCTTGAAAGTGTCCTATGTCTTTATGTTGCGAATTGTGGAAGGTAATGCATTCCAGAGATAAGGTGCAGCTGACTGGAAGGCAAGATCGCCAAGGGTTGGACGGGTCTTGGTGCTAGGTAATTCGGGTAATAAAGACTCGTTTGACCTAAGAGAGTACCTGGATTGCTTTTTGATGCTAATTAAATCAATCAAATAATTAGGAGCCAGACCATATAAACACTTAAATGTCAAAAGTAAAATCTTAAACTTTATACGGTAACTAATCGGGAGCCAATGAAGATGGAAAAGCAATGGCGTAACATGGCAGTATCTTGGTGATCCAGTGACCAACCGAGCAGTGGCATTCTGTATCCGTTGGAGTTTCATGATATGTGAATTTGGGAGGCCGT